AATGAGATTGCATATCTCCGTATAGGGACCTGAGTGCCATATGCTGACTTTTGCCAAAAATATCGATAAACTGCACGAGATATAACACAACATCTTGGAGAGCCGGTGAGTTGTTCTGTAAGAGTGGTGTCCCATGGCGCCGCCAAAAATGTAATAACGGCTTAATACCATCCATAGACCTGCCTACACGCGTTAAGAACAAAATATTTCAAACTGCCGTTAATCTTTATATGAATTATCTTAAACACAACTGAGGGACAAATGAGAACAATGATGCTTAAGACACTGGACATGAAGAACATGTCGAGATGATGGATTTCACGTATTCGTGCTTTTGACACATTGTTATAATCGGTGTTGGATCGTGTCAAAGTCAGGACACAGAAATTGAGCGAACTTTTCAACTGCAAATCGGAGCAGTGCTAATGACGAGAAATCGAGGTAGGTGTTAGAAGAACATAAGCTAGTATAAAAATCCTAAACTATTTTCTGGCCCACACAAAAATGTAACGGCGATCCAGGAATGTTACAAACAAGAAAAACACCAAAAAAGCTCAGAAGCTGACCAAGAATGAATCGTCTATTACCGTTGAAGCCTCGTACTATGTATCCGCAATACCATTTTTCGTGGCTTCCCAACACCAAATTTCTTTTAATTGTTTTATCTCACACAAATGCAGTGTTGGTAACGTCGCGTTTATGCAACTTCTATAACACATTTGCGAATATTTTCTCATACTCTTTGTACGGGCGTACTGGTCTTAAAACCTTTGTGTTTGAAGCTTAAAATTATAACGTAGGAGAATGAAGAAACTATGCTATACGAGTTCAAGGAGTGCATTGCGTATCACGGAAAGGCGTGGCCAGCATTTGCGCCGGCTTCGGTAAGTTTAGACAAAGTTATACAGCAATTTCATTCATTGTTGACCCAAATCAAATTGCAATAAATAGTGGATTGGAAATAGAAGAGAGTCGAGATGTTTCTATATGGTTTTCTTACATTCTAAACTGAGAGATCAAAAAAATATTTGATTGGTACCAAAAACTATATTATGAACTATCCAAATGTCATAACACAAAAACATATTGCTAATTGAAGCCATTTAGCATAGCCGTAATTGAAATATAAAAAAAAAATGGCCAGACATTTTTCTACACTTAACCTAATTGTTGCAATTTACAGTTAAACGCAACAATTTAATGCAATTATCAGCGCTAACAAGTGTTGCGAGCTTTCAGCACCTCAAAAATTCTACCACCGTTCACAATTCAATAAAAAGACATGTCTGTAATGATTCTACATTCAGTATTTTTCATCGTATAACGGACTTGAGGAACAACGCAACAAAATGCAGAACTATAAGAATTTACCGTTGTATTCAATAAATGTGAAAATCTTTTTGCAACTAGGACTCATCGGCCCGTCCACCAGGGCAAAGCAAATTCTCTTGGCTTTCGTGCCAGTAACCACATATTTGGGACAAATCATTAATTTATATAAGACGTGGAGTGATGACATTGGTGAGACGGGCTTGAATTTCTACATGTTGGCGCTCGTAACACACTGCTTGGTTAGATTCTTCATGGTCGTGCGAAACAATGAGAGATTTGTGCGATTTTTACAATGCATCGATCTCTGGTATAAGGATATTGAGGTGCAGGCTAATAAATCGCGAACGAACTAAGATTAAAATTTATATTTTTTTGACATTTGTTTACTAATTTTTTTCCACTTAAAAACAGCTAAACAGTGATCCGGAAGTGGTCCGCATGTTGCAAGACGTCACCACACACACTCAGAAGTTGACACGCATCGGCTTCTACACTATCCTCACTGGCGGTCTATGCTCCTATATATTTCCATTTTTATTCGAAGAACGCAGTAAGCAGCAGTCGAATAAAGTATCCGCAATTATTTATGTATATTTTGGTTGTTTCTTCTCTTTTTAATTCGAAGAATTTATACTGGATATACATTATATTTTCTTTGACGCCAAACAAACGCCATTCTACGAATTCTTCTTAGTTCTACAAATAGTGGTGTTGGTGCCGGTATTCATTGTCATTTATCTGCCATTTACGAATATTTTGTTAACGTCGCTTAAGTTTGGCGAGTTGATTTTGATGGATATGTGCACGAAGTTGAAAAACATCAACAACCAGGATGAGACGACACAACTGCGAGAGTTTAAGGAATGCATTTCGTATCACGAAAAAATCATTACGTAAGACAACTATTAGCTTTCAATTTAATAAAGGCGCAGTAAATGCGGTGCAATAATATTTTGTACTTTATACCACAAGTTGTATACTATATATCGCTTTCCTTTGTTTCCACACGATTTTCGATTTCGCACCAATTTTATGTCTTCTTGTTTACTTGTTTTTAAATTGTATTATTCACTTTTCTTTTGCAGTTTCCGCGATGATCTCGAGTATTTGGTTTCAATAGATGGATTCTTTCATGTAACTCTCTTCGGCTTAATGCTTTGTATGCTGCTTTTCTTCCTCTCATTGGTAAATGCTCTTATAACCGTGATATAAGTAACATATAAGCAAATAGTTTTAGAATATTATTTGAAGTTGCACGCCTAAAGGGGGTTTCGACTTATTCAATTATGAAGGGAAGACGAGGGAAATAGCCAGATTTTTTCGGTGATTGAGTTTAAAATTGAGATAGAAAGTGAGATTGAGATTGAAATTGAGATTGGGATTAGAATTCATATTGAAAATGAAAAGGTTGAGGAAAGGTTAAGATGGAGATTAAGATTATGATTTATATTGAAATTGAGATCAATATTGAGATTGAAAAAGAGATTAAGATTGAAATTGAGATTGAGATGAATGAGATTAAGATTGAGATGAGATTAAGATCTGAGATTGACAGAGATTGAGTTATAGTGGTATATGATATTGAGATCGATATTGAGATCGTATTGAGATTGAAAAAGGAGGTTAAGATGAAATTGAGATTGGATTAAGATTGAGATAGATGAGTTGAGGCTGAAGTGGACGGTAAGGTTAGGTTTGAGGTTGAGTTTGAGATTAGATTTGAGATTGCAGATAAGAATCAGATTAAGATTGAAATTGAGATTGAGATGAGGTTTCAAGATTGGATTGAGATTGAGATCATATTAAGATTGAGAGACATGAGATCATATTGGAATCGAGATAAAGAATAAATAAAAATTTAGTTTGAGATTGAGAATGGAGATTAAATTGAAATTGAGATGAGATGAATGAAGATTGAATTGAGATTGAGAATGAGATTGAGATTGAGATTAAGATTTTTTTTGAGATTGAGATTAGATAGTGATTGAGATTTGAGTATTAATATTGAGGATTGAGATTAAGGTTGAGGTTGAGTATTGAGATTGATATTGAAATTGAGGATTGAGATCGAGTTATATATTGAAAACTGAGACAAAACAAAGATTCAACTTAAAACTGATATTGAAATAGAAATTGAAATTGCAATGAGAATGGAAAGTTAAGGAGTGAGGAACTGACACTTTGTCCTTGCTTTCGTGACTTTCTAAGCAAATTGTTTTAAACTTTTCGACAACTTTGATCAACGCAGAAGCGCATAATTTCTTAATCTAAATAATTTATATATAAATAGATACATAACTCTTCAAACTGTATACCAGGTGTGGCGTATATCACTTTCAACTCTTATGTAATCGGTATAACCAGCTATTATGGCAGAAATTTCTCGCACGAAGGTAAATGTGATTCTTTGTATATTTTATTTTAATACTTCTTATACAGATGTTTTTTCAAATTTTATCTGCTTATACAATTAATATACTTCTTTAATGCAGAGCTTAAAAGTTGGCCTATGCCGCCTATTGATACTCCGTGGTATGAGGAAATCCAGAATACGCAAAAATGATGTGCAAATTATGATCGCAAGAACCATAAAGCCACTTGAAAGTATATTTTTACAAATAACAAAATAATTTTAAATGCGCTTGCAAATCTTAT